GTTTGAGCAAAACGTCAAGAGAAAATGAATAAATCATGAAAGAGCGATTTTACCAAAACTCACTACTTCATTTTTAGCACTATATAGCCCAGAAATCGAGGGAGGGGCCTGTGCCACACGGTGAGGGGGGAGGAGCCTGTGCCACACGGCGAGGGGGAGGGGCCTGTGCCACACGGCGAGGGGGGAGGGGCCTGTGCCACACAGCGAGGGGAGGGCCTGTGCCACACGGCGAGGGGAGGGGCCTGTGCCACACAGCGAGGGGGAGGGGCCTGTGCCATGCGGTGAGTGCGAGCTGCTCAAACAGACGGGAGTACCTTACACTGGGGTGGAGCTCTCATGCGCATAATGCCCAGATGGAGCTGAGCTGCAGCAGATCTACAACAGATGCACAGACTCAAGATGAACCGCGTCCTGCACAGGCCAAACGGACAGGCCGATGGGACAGGCCAAACGGACAGGCCAAAGAGAAAGGGCAAAGACACAGGGCAAAGAAATAGGCCAAAGGGACAGGCCAGTGGGACAGGAAAGTGGAAAGGGACAGGCCAAAGAGACAAGCCAGTAGAACAGGCCAATGGGACAGGCTAACAGGACAGGCCAAAAGGCACAGGCCAAACGGACAGGCCAACAGGACAGGTCAATGTGACAAGCCAAATGGGACAGGAAAGTGGAACAGACCAAAAGAACAGGCCAAAGAGACAGGCCAATAAGACGGGCAAATGGGACAGGAAAGTGGAACAGGCCAAACGGACAGATGAAAGGAATAGGCCAAAAGGAGCAGGCCAATCTGACTATTGTGCTTGAGTCTGCTTTAATACACTGCAATAAATATTTTGACTATATGACTATATTTATGCATTTTCCAACTCCAAGCTGTATAAACTTATCCAGGCTGGTGCCACCTAGTGTCTCCGCTCAATTTAATTTCTCTCCAGCGACTAGATCAGGAATCAGAATACACTAGACGGTTTACAAAAACCCTTGAAGTGCGAGTTCGGGCACCAGCCAATGAGCGAAGAGACAGACATTCAGTGTTGTCAAAGATTCTTGAGATCGAGGATTTAAAGCTGGAAGAAAGAGAATGTTTGGTGAATTTTATCAAGAGGAAAGACGTTATTGTCCTTCTTCCTACGGGATTTGGTAAAAGCTTAATATACCAGTTAGTCCCGTTAGCAGAGCATTACATACGTCCCGACCAAACAGCAGCAATTGGTTAAGTAAAAAAAAGTACCCGCCTACCCACAAGTGAACGAATTCTAACGCTGCGAGGTCAGACGGTTTCTACGATTCTTATTGGATGTAATGTATGTCGCGCGGACCATCCCCCCCCCGTCCCGTACGTCGCGTTGACAGTCTTTCCCGTCCCGAATGTCACGCGGACCGTCCCATACGTTGCGCGGACAGTCTCCTCCGTCCTGTACGTCGCGTGGGCTGCGCCACTAAACCAGGTCTAAAAACTGTTCTAAAACCAGGACTAAAACAGGATTTAGCCAGGACTTAACCATGCCGCCTGACCGCCCACTGCGCCTCCTCCCATACGCAGCCCAATTCCTTTCGCTTCTCTGTGTTTGGTAGATCTTAAGAAAGCAAAGGTTCCCATCCTACGGGATTTGCAGGCGGCGCGAGACAAAATATCACAGATGCGGGCGGGAGCGGGACTGGAAATTCCAGTCCCACGCAGACCTCTAGCTGGGACACTGGTATGGACTGGTTTTATTAAAGATGAGACCTTTTCGGGTTGAAGATGGACTCAAAAACAAACCTCCTGCCAGTTTTTAGAAGACACTTTCTTCAAGCAGTGATGCAAAAAGTGATTTTTTAAAATGATTTTTATGCAGGACGAAGCTCCATCGCTGCATCGAAGGCCTTAAGGATGAAAAAATAATGACACGGCCCCTTTACTCACTCGAACTAAACCAACTGAGAACTTGAGGGCCATTCGACTTATACGCCAACAAAATGAAGTTTGGACACTGGTATGGGCTGGTTTTATTAAAGATGAGCTTGTCGGACCTTTTTGGGTTGAAGATGGACTCAAAATGAACTCCAAAACCGACTGCCAGTTTTTAGAAGACACTTTCTTCAAGCAGTGATGCAGGAAAAAAGTGATTTTTATGATTTTCATGCAGGACGAAGCTCCATCGCTGCATCGAAGGCCTTAAGGATGAAAAAATAATGACATGACCCCTTTCCTCACGTGAACTAAACCAACTGGGAACTTGTGGACCCTTCGACTCATACGCCAACAAAATGAAGTTGGGACACTGGTATGGGCTGGTTTTATTAAAGATGAGCTTGTTGGACCTTTTCGGGTTGAAGATGGACTCAAAATGAACCTACTGCCAGTTTTTAGAAGATACTTTCTTCAAGCAGTGATGCAAAAAGTGATGTTTTAAATGATTTTTATGTAGCTTGATGCTCCATCGCTGCATCGAAGGCCTTAACGATGAAAAAATAATGACATGGCCCCTTTCCTCACGTGAACTAAACCAACTGAGAACTTGTGGGCCCTTCGACTCATGCGGCAACAAAATGAAGTTGGGGCTGGTTTTCTTAAAGATGAGCTTGTTGGACCTTTTCGGGTCGAAGATGAACTCAAAACGAACCTCCTGCCAGTTTTAGAAGACACTTTTTTCAAGCAGTGATGCAGGAAAATGTGATTTTTATGCAGGCCCCATTGCTGCATCGAAGGCCTTAACGATGAAAAAATCATGACATGGCCCCTTTCCTCACCTGAACCAAACCAACTGAGAAATTTTGGGTCCTTCAGTTCCAAAAAAATACTGAATTTCTTGTTCTGTAAATGACTGAAAGTTTCTATCTGTTGTTTTCTGAAAATTAAAAAAGGATATATTATAAACGTTTGTCATTTGATCCACATTTTCATTTAAGAAATATTCAAAAGAGACAAAAGTTGAAATGTGTTTACAATAAAATGAATGAAATTTGGTAATGAAGGGGTTGCTTTTAAAGATAATTTTGCGTACTGCCTGCATAAAGAATTATTACTCGACTTTTATTGGTCTCTCTTTTGCAAGTTGCTAAAATAAATAAAGAAGCGGGAGGGGTAATTACATCATTCTTCATCACTGGACTTTAGAACGACTAGTGATGATATTGTTAATGAGTAAACAATGATTCTCAGAAATCTTCCGTTGCCGTTTATTAACCCTGAAATGCCTCGGTCGCCTCGACGTCAAGACTCAAACCTGCAGCCTCCGGGTTTGTGGGCGACGGAACTGATCCAGATCCTGATCAGAGCTTTTCAGAGCGTCAAAAACAGGTTTACGTCCACGAGAAGTGAGACGACCAGTTCAAACATCAACTTAACATATTTATTCTGTCATTTTCATCAATTCAATTCAGTTCAATCTTTATTAAGAACATGTAATATCTGGTTCATGGTATTAAAAATAAAAATAAAAAAGTTAAAATACAGTGAAAGTCTGACAGTCAGTGTCTCCACAGATCAGAATGATGGGAAGGTGACTTTTAAAATGTAATCCCCTACAGATTACAGATTACACACACCAAAATGTAGTTTGTAACAGAATCCATTAAATTACTTAAAGTGAGTAATGTAATCTGAATACTTTTGCTGTAGAGAAACAAAGACGAGGAAATCTTCACATAAGAAGTTTTGTCTGATAAAAGAAAATAAAAAGTCCAGATTTTACTGAACCAAATTAAAAATATTATTGATAGAAGAAGAAGAAACACGTCCACACAGCAGGATTTAGTCCTGTTAAATCCTAGTTTACTCCTGTTTTAGTCCTGTTTTAATCCGGTTTTAGACCTGGTTTAGACCTGGTTTTAGACCTGGTTTTAGTCCTGGTTTAGACCTGGTTTTAGTCCTGGTTTAGTCCTGGTTTAGACCTGGTTTAGATCTAGTTTAGACCTAGTTTAGACCTGGTTTAGACCTGGTTTTAGTTCTGGTTTAGTCCTGGTTTAGACCTGGTTTAGACCTAGTTTAGACCTGGTTTTAGTTCTGGTTTAGATCTAGTTTAGACCTGGGTTCAGTCCTGATTCAATCCTGATTTAGTCCTGGTTTAGACTTGGTTTTAGACCTGGTTTAGAGTCCGGCAATGAGTGGAATTACCCCCAAAAATGGATTTAGCCCAAAATGTGAAAACAGGAAAATACTGCCATGTAATAAACTATTTATTTCAACAAAGTGTAACTGAATACAGTTACTCATAATTTGTACTCTGATTACATGTAATCTGTTACTCCCCAACACTGTCGACTGTTCAGATTCACGGCTCTACACATAAATGAATAAATACAACATCTGATCGTGACACACAGAGTCTCACAACACAGTTTACAAACACTTCACTAGCGCCACAAAACCTCAGCACTTTCAGAAATATTCTCAAAGAGTCGTTACAGGAAACGGTCAAACTCTGCAAACTGTTTTTCTTGTAGAATAGTAAACAAGGGTTAGCAGAAACATTTAAAAAGTGTGATTTTGACATGACTGCAGCACATGGAGAACTTACGGACGAGCAGATTGGCCTGAGTGTGAAGCTCACACTGCTGCCTGCACACGTCTCTGTCATCTGAGACTCACTGCTGACAGAACGTCCAAGATATTAGACATACACATGGATAATATAAATCACCATGTGTATTTGGCCATAATAAATTGAAATCTTGGACCATGATCAGCCCCACACCAGCCCCCGCAGCTCAAATCAGCTTCACTGAAAAAGCTTGACTGCAGCAGCTCTTCTGCAGAACATGAGGTGAAGTGTCTGGAGGCTGAGCTCAGGTTCAGGTGCGACAGTGACGAGGCTGATGTGTGATGAGCAGGAGATGATGCTGCTCGTTTGGAGAAGAGTTAAACTTTGGTTTTAGTCACGTTCAGTCTAAACACAGCGGCCACAGAGACACTAAACCAAACCAAAGCGTCATCTGGACTCTAAGCTCTTTATACCAGAGTTAAACTTCTGCGGTTCTTCCTCGCTCACGTTCGTGCGTGGCGCTGTCTCGTGTTTTACCTGCCACCACCAGGCTCTGCTCTCTCCCCTTCAGAGCGCGCTCCGGGGCGGGCAGCTCGCGGGGCGCGGACATGTGAGCGGAGGACGCGGCCACAGAACCAAAGACCAACAGAAGCAGCAGCAGCAGCAGCAGCAGCAGCAGCAGAACCAACAGGACCAACAGGAGCCTCGGACTAACGCAATGTGCGCTCCTCTCTGCCCCTGTGCGCGGTCATGCGGTCACACCGTTACGTGGCGCGCCCGTGCGTCAGGAGAAGAGGAGGAGGGGCGGGAAAATCACGTTAATATGAATATTCATCGTGCGTGGGCCGCGCCGTGCGCCGCATATCAACCAGGCGCGGGGTTAATATGACTTTGCCACAGAAACCTCCCGCGCGCCGCGTGCGGGACACAAATTCAATTTAATCCACGCGCTGCTCCGCATGTAAATGAGCGCGCGCCGCACGAGATGCTCCGTGAGGGACCCGGATGTATGTGCTTCCACTTTTACATGTGACACAGGCCGATGTGGCTCACGTGAGGACAGGAGGTGCACCGTTTGACTGCCACAAGCACAGAACAGAACATTAGAGGAGGAACATGTCACAGGCCCAAAGACACGAGGACTAAAGACACTGGAGCCGATACCAAGAACCGCTAAAGAGAGTGATGATCCGATACCAATACAATACCAGTATGTTTATTCACATGCACAGAAACTCCTTTACTACAGAACATGTCAAAATAAATACTTTTCTTGCCTGGATCCACAATACAAACATCAACACTTTATGAAGATGTGAGTCTGGTCATCAGTGAATCACCTGTATCCAAACTGACGTGATTGACGGGGGGATCAGCCAATCAGGAACACACATGACCACACACAAAATAAATAAACAAATAAACAAATAAAGGAAATAAAATATCGCTGAAAGGAAAAACACGGTGGTTTTCTGCAGATTCACTGAAACGACTCGAGACATGTCGAAGGACGTACGGACTCAATGTACAAGCAGCTCCTGACGCCCAAACATGTCCACTGCTGCTGTCTGCGTGTTATTATAAAGTGTTTTATTGTGTGAAAATCTGGAAGTGCACATTAGCATGCTAGTTATTGTTAGCTCAGAATATGTAAAATAATTTTAGAATAACATTCATCTTCACCAGATTGAAACCAGCCTGTGCCTGTAATCTGACATGTGCTCATTAGCATGTACTGTATTTTTTATTTTTTTTTTTCCAAATGATACACAAAACACAAATACAATCAAAAAAATTATAAATAAATAAATAAATAAATAAATAAAATGTTTTCCAATAAATAAATAAATAATAATAATAATAATAAAATAAAATAAATAAATAATAATAATAATAATAATAATAATAATAATAATAATAATAAATAAAAATAAATAAAATAAATAAAATACCAAAATACAAATAAATAAATAAATAAAATATTTTTAAAGAGGTTGTGTTGGTGTCACTTTTTAACACATACCAGGCGTTACCTTTATGAACATGTTTAATAAGTTTGTGTTTTTGACAGTGTGCGTCCCTCCTCCCTGAGCTCCCCCTTCAGAGCACTAACACCACACACTCAACATTCACACTGCTGATGAAACTACAGCACATCGTGTCAGGATTGTGAAGTTGTAGTGTAGTGCATGTGTGTGATGTGTGTATGTTTATGTGTGTGTATGTGTTAGTGTGTATGTGTATGTTGATGTGTGTGTGTGTGTCTATGAATGTGTATATGTGTGTGCTTATGTATGTGTGCGTTAGTGTGCATGTGTGTATGTATATGTGTGAGTGTGTATGTGTGTGTATTTGCGTGTGTGTTTGTGTGTGTATGTATGTGTGCGTGTGCTTATGTATGTGTGTGTGTATGTGTGCTTGCGTTAGTGTGTAGGTGTGTATCTATGTGTGAGGTATTGTGTGTATATATGTGTGTGTTGGTGTGTGTGTATGTGCATTAGTGTGTATGTATGTGTGTGAGTGTGTGTGTGTATGTGCATGTGTTTATATGTGTGTATGTTGATGTGTGTGTGGGTGTTTGTGTGTGTGTATGCATTAGTGCATATGTGTGTGTATGGTGAGTGTGTGATGTGTGTGTGTGTGTCTATGAATGTGTATGTGTATATGTATGTGTGTATGTGTGTATGTGTGTGTATATGTGTGTGTATGTGTATATGTGTGTGTGTATGTGTGTGTGTGTGTATGTGTGTGTATGTGTGTGTATGTGTGTGTATGTGTGTGTGTATGTGTGTGTGTATGTGTATATATGTGAGTAATTATGTGTGTGTATGTGTGTATATATGTGTGTGTATGTGTTAGTGTGTATGTGTGTGTGTATGTGTGTGTGGTGTGATTGGTGGTCGATCTGTCCTGTCACACTGGACTGTCTGACTGACTCTCTGACTCTGGACACTCTGGACTCTGGACTCTGGACTCTGGACACTGGACACTGGACACTGGACACTGGACTCTGGACTGGACTCTGGACTGGACTCTGGACACTGGACTCTGGACACTGGACACTGGACTCTGGACACTGGACTCTGGACTCTGGACACTGGACACTGGACTCTGGACTCTGGACACTGGACACTGGACTCTGGACTCTGGACTCTGGACTCTGGACACTGGACTCTGGACTCTGGACACTGGACTGGACTCTGGACACTGGACTCTGGACTCTGGACTGGACTCTGGACTGGACTGGACTCTGGACTGGACTCTGGACTCTGGACACTGGACACTGGACTCTGGACTCTGGACACTGGACTGGACACTGGACACTGGACACTGGCTCAGGTTCAGTCTGGACTTGGACTTCACAGACCTGGTCTGGTCTGGTCTGACCAAACCTTTTCTTTTTTTTTTGCCTTGTGTACAACACATGGACCACGGCACTAAACCAGGACTAAACCAAACTAAACCAGGTCTAAACCAGGACTAAACCAAACTAAACCAGGTCTAAACCAGGATTAAACCAAGACTAAACTAGGACTAAACCAGGATTAAACCAAGACTAAACCAAGACTATACCAGGACTGAACCAGGACAAAACCAGGACTAAACCAGGACTAAACCAGGACTAAACCAAGACTAAACCAGGACTAAACCAAGACTAAACCAGGACTAAACCAGGACTAAGCCAAGACTAAACCAAGACTAAAGCAGGACTAAACTAGGACTAAACCAGGTCTAAACCAGGACTAAATCAGGTCTAAACCAGGACTAAATCAGGACTAAACCAGGACTAAACCAGGACTAAACCAGGACTAAACCAGGTCTAAACCAGGACTAAATCAGGTCTAAACCAGGATTAAAATCATGACTAAAATCAGGACTAAACCAGGATTTAACCCGGACTAAACCATTCCGTGGAGGGGGCGATTTGAAAAGCCCTGTTCTAGTGTAAAGAAAAAGTACAGATGTTAAACTGATCCCAAAAAATATGATTTGATCTTTTTTCTTCTACTGAACATTAAGTTGATCTTGATTATTTCAGGAGTGTCCCTCACAGAGACGTGGAAGGTCTTCAGGACACATTTCATCCTGGTTCTGTCCTGTTGCAGTCATGTTTTAGTCTTGGTTTAGTCCTGGTTCAGTCCTGGTTTAATCCTGTTTCAGTCCCTTTTTAGTCCTCATTTAGTCCTGGTTTAGTCCAGTTTTAGTCCCTGTTTTAGTCCTGTTTTAGTCCCTTTTTAGTCCTGGTTTAGTCCCCCTGTTTCAGTCATGTTTTAGTCTTGGTTTAGTCCTGGTTCAGTTCCGGTTTAGTCCTGTTTCAGTCTTGGTTCAGTCCTGGTTTAATCCTGTTTCAGTCCCTTTTTAGTCCTCATTTAGTCCTGGTTTAGTCCTTGTTTTAGTCCTGGTTCAGTCTTGGTTTAGCCCTGTTTTAGTCCAGTTTTAGTCCTGTTTTAGTTCTTTTTTAGTCCTGGTTCAGTCTTGGTTTAGTCCTGTTTTAGTCCCTTTTTGTTCCTGGTTTAGTCCTGGTTTAGTCCTGGTTCAGTCCTGTTTTAGTCCCATTTTAGTCCTTGTTCAGTCCTGTTTTAGTCCTGGTTTAGTCCTAGTTTAGTCATGTTTTAGTCCTGGTTTAGTCCTAGTTTAGTCATGATTTAGTCCTGGTTTAGACCTGATTTAGTCCTGGTTTAGACCTGATTTAGTCCTAGTTTAGTCCTGATTTAGTCCTGGTTTAGTCCCTTTTTAGTCCTGGTTTAGTCCTGTTTTAGTCCAGTTTTAGTCCTGTTTTAGTCCTGGTTCAGTCTTGGTTTAGTCCTGTTTTAGTCCAGTTTTAGTCCTGTTTTAGTCCTGGTTCAGTCTTGGTTTAGTCCTGTTTTAGTCCAGTTTTAGTCCTGGTTTAGTCCTGGTTCAGTCCCGTTTTAGTCCCATTTTATTCCTTGTTCAGTCCTGTTTTAGTAAATTTTTTTTACTGCCAGATTTTAAAATCAAACCCTCAAATCGACTCATCTTTCTCGTCTTAACGCGACTGTTACATCCAAAATAAACAAAAACAAATAAATAAAAAATAAACCCGACAGAATTTTGATAAACGACGAAGACGAACACAAAACTAAACACACTTTTCCTGCTCAAAAGTTGTCGTTAATAATTGATTTTTTTTCTTTTTCTTTTTCCGGGTGCCGTTTTCTGGCTGTTGGCACGCACTCCCGTCTCCTCCGCCCCCCCAAAAAAAACCTCCCCCTCCCCAGACGCTTCCTCCCCCGCCCCCTCGGCCCCTCCCCCCGCCGCTTTTTTGTCAAATAAATTGCTACGTGACCTACTTCTTATTTTGCACCGTTCTCTCATGTGCGGATGTGATTGTTTGAACGTTTCGCTTTAGGCGCACAGTAGCCAAGAAAGAAGCGAACGAAGCAGCGAAATGTAGGCCACACCGCTCCCAAAAAAAAAAAAAAATAATAATAATAATAATAAAATAAAATAATAATAAATAAAAAATGTATTTATCATTACGGTTTTGAAGATGTTCGGTGTTTAGTGTCGCGCCCAAAAACAAAAACAACTGTACACACAAATGTACAATAAATAATACAGCTAAAATTAGTCCTGGTTTAGACCTGGTTTAGACCTGATTTTAGTCTTGGTTTAGTCCCTGGTTTAGTCCTGATTTAGTCCTGTTTTCATCTTAGTTTAGACCTGGTTTACACCTCTTTTAGTCCTGGTTTAGACCTGGTTTAGACCTGTTTTAGACCTGGTTTAGTCCCTGGTTTAGACCTGGTT